GTGTGAGGAAAATCCTCGGAGACGACGTTCAGGGCTAGATTCTGGTGCACTAGGTGTTCGGGGGATCGTTTTCGACGTGAAATTTGGATTAAGCGCCCTAAATACGCCCCCATAATGATTTTCGGGTTGTTTTTGACGATCTTGTCATGAAAATTCTCGGGGATGACGTTCACATTCAGGTTCCGGCACACCAGAAGTGTCCATAGGGTATTCGCCTATGCCATATTTGAATTTAGCGATCCAAAAAACCCCCGGGCGCCGAGTTTCTCTCCTTTCCCGCTTGAATTTCGTCCCACGGAGATGACGTTCATCAGCGTTCCTGAGCTCCAGGACAGCTGTGGGTCAATTTGAACATCATAATCGTGATCAGTTCTGTGGGCCAGTTCTGACTCTTATTTACAAAGTTTTTTCCGGTTTGTACAAGATAAAAAGTAGGGACAAAACCTATTACATATATTTCATTAAGACGATATATTTAAAATATTTATGAATAAACCTGTAAAATTTAAAGGAATTTCTGTACTGGTTTTTGAGTTCGGGCGATTTTTATTTATTTTAATTTTGGAATTTAGAACTTGAAAAATAATTACAGATTTTTACTTATCTATAGTTTAGATTAAACTTTAAATTTACCTAATCAGAGTTTTACTTTTTTTTCTTAACTCGTATTGATTTAAATTTAAAAATGTAAAACATCACACATTATCACAGTTATATTTCACTGTACTTTCCTTGTTAAAATATTAGGTACTTTTTTAAACAATACTTTTTATTACATTGGACATGCAATAAATAATTGGGTATACCTATGTGTATGTATTAGATACATGCACGCGGAAATTCTGATTTTTAAAGGTTTTATACAATGATTACGATACTATTTAAAAAAAAAATGTTCAATAAAGTGGCCACAATCTTGCATATATGAGGCTTTGATCAATTAAAACCTATCTTTGATCGGGTTAGCATGAACCACAGATATGTATTTATTCGTGTTTTTTTTAAGCTCCTTACTATCTAACCACAATCAACTAGGTACTTTAAACATAGTATATTTTTAACTATATTTGTCTTTGAAGTTGTCACGGAGTCCTACAACTAAATTGTTGGTTGTTGGACTACATCAACCTTTGAAAAAACAGAATTTCCATTATAAAAATTTTCTATCTGGGTCATTAATTCGTGACATTTTTTTATACTCATAACATTTATTTTACAAATATTACATTTAGTAACAACTTGAGTGAGATTCAGTTATATCTGAAATAATTGAGAAGTCATAAGATCAGGTGTTTAGATATAAGTATATGGAGAGTATGTATCGCCATTATTGTTCAGTTGGACACATTGGAATGTGCTGTGGTTGGACTTCCAGATATAGCACTAGTTCTCGATACCTCATAAGTTTCTGCATAAATATTTCGAGGTGCCACATTATTTTAAATATTTCATAGTCTTCAACAATACCTATATCCCACGTCACTAAAAGTCTAAAAGTAACTAATATCAATAACCTCAGCAGTAATCCTAAATCAATATCACTGATCTATTTAACAGTACTTAAGTTGTCATAAAAGTCATTAAGAACGGCCATGTTCTTATTTTATCAGCATTGGGATTCTTATCTTTCAATACAGCACGTGTTGAGACGACTATCTTCGTTCCAAAGAATGCAATTTGTATGTTATGTCTCTCTCTATTTGATTCGTTACGTGTTGAGTACGCACCAGAGATGTAACTACTGACAAATATCGTGCGGCCCTGAATAAGACATATTCTAAGGGACACAGACGGGTATAATATCCACTGTTGCCATATTAGTGTAGAGTGTATGTATTAAAATATTCGCTCTAGAAAACGATTTACCTCCCACTCTTCTGTCACAAGCTGAATTTTTCAGAGATGAAAGGTCATGATAAGGTAACCCTTATTCTGGAGGTAATACAAAATTAGACTGTGCAGAAGGACACTATCATCAAAAATCCAGATATTGATACCACCGAATAGAGAAAAAAATACTCATTTTTTGGTCCAATGCACAATAAAATCTTTATAGGGAGTAATTGTGTATACTTATTTAAAAAAAATCATTTGCATTAACACTTACGGCCGAAAAATAATATAAACGTAAATATCTCGGTTTCAACCCTTCAAAAATTTGGTTAAAAAGTCATCTTTTTTAAATATACCATTCATTTAACAAAAAACGAAGGCCTAAATGTAAAAAAAAAATTCTTTATAAAATTTTTGCTTATGTGTTGACAAGGTAACATAGTAAACACCATATTTTTTACTTTTGAATTAACAAAGATATAACAATAAACGATGAGAGATCTCATAGGTTTACGCTGTAATTAATTCTCACCGCCAATTTCATCAACTCTCAGTGTATCTTTCTCTCCACCTTCAAACGTAGCATAGCTCTGTTTCTCTCTACGTGCCGGCTGATGTATCACATTATTGATATGGTAGTATTTTTCATTTTTTTATTATAAAACTTCTCGTTATGTTCCAATCGGCAATGTGTCATATTGTTATCTGTTTTTACTAAAGAATTAATAAGTGTATGTGTTATATATTAAATTACCTATTAAATTGGGAAGAAATATAGACATTTTTGCGTCTTTATTATATCTACATTCATCCTGTTGTAGCTGAATATATTTGGGTTAGTTATAAGTTTTCGTTTAAAATTTTAATTACGGATTTGTTGTTGCAAGTAGTAGCAAAGACACAAATGATATCAAAATAGGGAAGCCCAAAAGTTGCATATCATTTAAAGAATATGCTAATATATTTGTAAACATTATTTTTAAAAATAAATTTAATGCTCAAATTATAGATGTGATATTTGATCATTATAAAGAACATTCTATCAAAAATACAACACGTTCAAAGAGAGGAACCCAGAAATCAATTGATATAGAAATTGACCGACCCAATATTCCACTTCCGTAAGAATATAACTTGTTTATTCATTCGATATTTAACAAAAGCATTAGAACAAAAAATAAGCATTTTTTTTTCTATACGGTGGTATCAATAACTCGATTTTTTATGATAGTGCCCTTTTGCACAGTCTAATTTTGTATCTCTGAAAAATTCAGCTTGTGACACCGAAGTGGGAGGCAAAGTCAAAATAAATTTTAATCCACACCATACTACATGCCTATTTCATTATTCTCGTTTTGTTTACAAAATTATTTACATATATTTAAAAAGCTAAAATAATTGAACCTATTTTATTGCAACTAAACCCAAAAATTTTTGAATATTAGTTATATTAAATTTAACTAAATTAGATGTAATTTCACTAAATTAGATGTAATAATTTTCAATAAATTCCAAAACCTAGTGATGTTAGATTGGAAGTGGCAACAGGGCTTACACCGACATGGAAATTTACGTTGTGTATTAAAAGCGCGCAGCGGCTTACACATTTATTCATTGATAAAAATAAGTTGTGTTTGCGTAAAATTCTTCTCTTTATCCCTTCTCTTACTTCTCACTTTTCGTCGCCCCGCCCCGCGTCTAGAAATAGAATGAATCGATTGTCAAATTAATGTTGGCATCGTGAATATTATATTTTATCAATGACTGCTTATATCTCTGGTACGCACATAAGAATCTCTGTCCTGATCACGTGTGGAGACGAGTATTGTTGAAGACTTATTATCTTTTTTTAATGTTTTATTAACTCCTTTCATTTGAGATACTTTGAGAATTTTTTTGTAATATTCAGTGCTATCTGGATTTATATATTTATGAATATGTTTTTTGAATTCTTTTTGATATTCATAACACATACTTCTACCTATTGTTAATAATATTTATAATAAAAAATATGTAAGTGCATAATAAAAAAAAACAATAACAAAAAAGAATTACTATAAAAAACTTTGCTTTAACACTAACACGTATAGATAGTATCTTGGCACTTTTGTGGCACTAAAAATTAAAATTAAAAAAAAAATTTGTAAAAAGAAGTCTGGCCACTAAAGCCATTAAATAAATAAATAAAAAATAGGTAGGTACCTATTGGTTGGTCTATTCTAACAGTAGAACAGAAGTAAAAGTTGGAAATGCTTTTGCCAGTTCTCCCATTTTATACACATAAATTGACAGGTTGTCAGCGGATTTCACCGAAGTGGATGCGATACATTGGCGTACAAAATTATTTTATATATGTTAATAACAATTTCGAGTAAATAGTTTAATAAATTGTGAATAGCTGTTGAAATTTTGTAAAATTATAATTTGAATATTATAATACATGTTTAATAATTATTTATAATCCATAAATACATGCGATTGTCCGGTTCCGCCGATAACAATTTAAAATTACTTATTCTATGAAACGACACTGGCAGGTAAACATTACTGTGAAATTCTCGGAGCCGCCCGACGTGGTTTGACGTTTACCCCCTCTCTACCTACCAAAAGACTTTTCAACTTTTACTTTCTCTATAACTAATTTTTTATTTACAATTTAACTATTTACTTTTAATATACTAGGACTTTTTTATACATAGGTCATCTGTACCCAGTGAATTTGAAAACTATTTGGGACTTTTTAATAATATTCGAAACAATTTAAAAATTCAATGGTTACAAATTTTGGACAGACAAAATTTATATTTAGCTAAATTTGGTGCTATTCGTAAAAATATTTTTACACAGTCTTTGTACACTATGCTCTAAAAAGTATTTTATTCTACTTTCTACTTGGAAGTTTTTTTAGAAATTAAAATTTTGCAGTATTTATATTTAAAATAAATTTTAAACTAATAAGTAATAGGTATTTTCAAATTTGTTCATAAAACATTAAACTTTTACAACTTTAAAACAATGTACGTTATGGTTTTATAATAAATACTGATTTCTCAAAATAAAGACCAATTATTTCTAGTAATTTAATTTTTTTTAAAGTTGTGCATAAACATGCATATTTAAAATAAACCTCAGGTTACTATATTTCGGTAAATTTTCTATATTGTATTTTAAGCAACCAAATTAATAATTTCTGATTGCAACAAGCAACTAATAAACATTGACCTTAGCCAAAAAAATAAATTTGAATTAAGTGGAACTGTACTAGTCCTATCAGCTGCGCCATGTTGCATCGCCGCCGGTTCTTCTCCAACTAGAACGTGCACAAACACATTCGCTGGCTCCCCAATTGAGGGAGAACACGTGTAAATGCCACTGTCCTCTGGACAAGCTCTAGAAATGAGTAATCTGCTCGTACGGGTCTGTTGCTCTGTAACCACGTTTATTCCACCTCTTTCCGAATAACTAATTAAATTACCTTTCCTATACCAATATATGAAGTTGGGTGGGTCAGGTGTATAAGTTACGGTGCAAGTCAAGTTGATGTCGCTCCCGGATCTGACGTGCAACTCCGCATTTCCAAGTATAGTCGCTCTGGATACTGGAAAATAAAAGATAAACCGAATTACTCATGGATAACGATATAATAATTTAATTATTAAAATGTGAATTTATACTATCCTTTGTTTCGCGTTTATACAACGTGTGTTCGAAAAGTGTTTCAGTTTTTGCTAAAATGTTTGGGACAAATAAGTATTTTACCAATAAGACGTAGGTAAAAGATTAAAAAAATAAATAAAACAAATTGAAAGGAGTTTTTAGTCTTCATGGAATCTACATCAATATTATTATTCGCAAAAAGGATAATATTTTTTTGAACAAGGATAATTTCCTGATCGTAGTAGAATCGTATACAAATAAATAAATATTCTTTGGTTATAGTGGTCACAGTTTTTATTTAACAAGCACTACATATTTTGCGGGAAACAATAATAATAACAACAATAATAATAACACTTATATTATTATTAATAATTATTTCAATAATTATTTCATTGCCAAATTAGTATTTGTAAAAGGCTGCGCAGGAAATTTAGAAAGGAAAATAAGGACCAAAACAACATTATTACTAGGTTGTAAGTTCACTAATTAAATTATATTTTTACATAGTCAACCTCCCCTTCTTTGATATAAACTTAAAATAACAATGTATATCTTGATTTTAGAACCAAAAAATGTTCAACATTATTTATGCAACTGGAAAATTCTATAAAATTTTATAAAAATCGGACTGAAAATAAAGGCTCAGAATGAATTATAAATTTTAGAGGTATTCGGTTTGTTTTTAATAGTAACAGTTTTCTTTTCAATATGGATAATAATTTAGCAGAGCATTTTTATATCCATCATATACAAATTAGAGGCAAAATAATTATTCTCGTCGAGCGTCTGACTAGCTGCGTTGTGAAGCTGCAGCGCTTTGATACTTCATATAGAAATAAACTAGGCCATTATACAAAAAGTACACTAAAAAAATGAAAAAAAGAATAGCATATGTTAAAATGTCTGCATATAAAAACAAAGGCGTCATGCATTTAAAAAAAAAGATGATCGCTCAGACTGATTCCAGTTATGGTCTTCTAGAACAACCTGATCTGGAACAAAAAGAATACGACGAAGCGAAAAATATATTATTAGCAAAACTAAAATTACCAGATGAACAAATTATAGAATTAAAGAAAAAGTTACAGCTACAAAAATAAACATTTATTTGGATGGAGGAAAGAAAATTGCTCATAACTGCATCCAATTTTGGAAAAGTATATAAACTTAGAACGACCTCTTTCAATAATACTATAAAATCCTTCTCATATTTTAAGTTTACAAGTACAGAATACGACAAAATTCATGAAACGTATGACATAACAGATTTTTGTGCTACTACAAAGATGCAGGTGAAAAGTTGTGACCTATTTATTCATAGGAAGTATTTTTTTTGGGAGCAAGTCCAGATGGCTTAGTGGAAAATGACAGTGTCATTGAAGTAATATGTCCGGAATTCATTACAAAAACATATATATTTATATTACTATCAAGTTCAAGATTCAAGGTTGGAAAAAAGGTGTTCTAATAGAAAAGGTAATTTTTGTTACTCCAACTCAAGAAATCGCCGTTATTTATTCCATTTCTCGAATCTAGGGCAATAATAATAAAAAAAATATCTAGGTTAGTATAATGATATAGGGTGACATATTTGGACTAACATAAGGATCAAACCAAATAACATATGTATAATTTTTAATGTTAGTGATAAAAAAAATTAGTTGAGAAGTGAAATTATAAACTTCGTACATTATAGCTTGAGTCTCATTTTATAATAATTTAGGTATATAATATACTAAGTATTAGGTAATGAAGGATTAAAATATCTAAAGTAAAATTTATTTAATAAATGTTTAAGGTTTTAGATTCCACGAGATAGAACTTTTTGGGCTAACTAGAAATATTTATTTTAATTGCTTACTTTCGGAGTTAGTAGATCCGAGGTTTCCCAGAGGATTGAAAATTCGCAATAACACACGGAATAAAATTTTGCGTACTTATCAAGAATGATATCAAACCATATTGTATTCTATTCTATTATATTAATTAAACATTTGCGATCTACACAATAATCTTTTTGAAACCCTCATATTTATAAGTGGTTTATAGAGAGAAAGTCACTAAGAACGTCACCTAATAACAAAAAGTAAATAGGTATTTTCAAATTTCGTATGCGTACTAAAAATGCTTTTTACCGTTAAAAAAATATTATGTGTTTGTTTTTCCTACATAATATCCTATATTTTATTACATATATAGATTATATTTAAAAAGATAAGTGTTTTTATATTTTGCACTTGTAATCCGAAATTAATACTTTGGATACTACAGATCTTAAAAAACATGTTTTTGAACCTTTTATCACTATTGTTTAAAAATGGTTCTAAATTGGAAAAAACGATTTATGTTTTAATAATAACAATAATAATTTTTATTTGTGTGGCTCTGTAGATGGTCATAAGATTTTTGACCACCTTGTATAAAATTTTAATTATATTAAAAATATTTAGATAAACACTTTCACATCACAAAAAATAACTTACATATTTTATATTTTCCTCATTGCCTATTATTATTTTATCTAATATTCAGCGCAAACCGCGTTGGCACGACACTGGACGACCGGGCGTTGAGCGACGTTCTGAGAATTCCGCAATTAAGTGGAAGATGGGCAAAGCGGCACAGTAAATGTGTGCCTCTGTTGTTTTCTCTCTCATTATGATGCGAAAAACAAGGACAACGACAATATCGCTTAGCAAGAGATGAACACATGCGATGGATTATACGTCACAAGCGGGGCGCTGTCCTAATCATGACGTGCTGTACCCATGGACAGATTACCTAGACCAGATACGAATATACGCAGTGGCATCTTTACCGGCTCCCTCACAAAGGCGATGCCGGTTTCGGCTTAAGGTGCGCGTTTGTTGTACCATGATAATAATTTATTTATTGTGATTATGAAAAAAACGTTAGTTGGACCATTGGAATAGTTAAGAAATAAAACTACAAATAAAATTAACTTTTTTTTTATAAAGCATTTTTGCAAATTGTTGGCAAGGATGACCAAATTCTATTGTGCTCATCTCAAAAAGGTATGCGTTGGAAATTCCAGGTTTAGTTGACAAACTATCAAATAGAGATATAAATATTTTTTCTAATTTGAAAATATAAAAGATACATTTTTCACTGGGAGATATTAAATTGCCAAACACCTTTTCTTCAGAGTCGTATGCTTTAAAATGCGTTAACAAGTTAAAATTGTTAAGTAAATTGCATTCTTCTGAGAATTTTACGCAAATTTCGCAAGAGTGGATATGTAATGATTTTTTGATTAAATAGCCACATACACAGTTAAATGCATTTTGAGTGGTCACATTTAGCTCTTTGTAGTCACATTCAGAAATCGTTATTGCCCCAACTGATTGTTTTGCATTAAGCGGAGAACTTGTTTTCCTAGGGGAAAAACGAATCCAGGGATGCCTTTTCAGTGTGTGCCCCACTACCGCTAGTGCTCACGTGCCGCCACTGTCACTAAACACATTAAAAATGTTATAAGAATTTTCTAATATAAAATTGTATTTATAAGTGCGCCACTGGCAATTCTTTGCGATTGAATGTTTCAGAGTAGAATTGAGAGATTTAAATTTCTGCAACGATATGGCAGCACTCTGCAGAGACATTTTAGGAAAAGGTGGTAAAGTATTTTATTTAAAAATTACTTGATATTTATTAAAACAAAAAGCAGCAAATTTTCATAGATTTAGTACAGAATGGCGCGGAAACTTCTTTTTCTTATTTTCCGTTTGAAAATGAATAAAATAAATATTTTTAGAAGTTTTAAAAAAATTCAAGGTTTCTCCACCCTGAGTTTGGTAATTATTAGTACTTTCTAAAAATTTCACAAAAATCAGACTAAAAATAAAGTCGTAAAATGCTTTTGTTCGGTTTGCTCTTAAATAGAGAATTATAAACTTTTCCAAAGCTATCAGTCGACCCCAACTGCCTATTAAAATTTTCAAGGGTGTAGCTACCCTCGCAAGCATTTGAAATTAGTGTAAATTTTTTATTGTAGAAATGTGCTTCATCAGCAATAAAAGTTGACATATTCTGAGCATTTTTTACCGTACAGAAGTTAGTAGGTGGGCGGAAGGGTTACACTTTACGTTCTCACTGCATAAATGTTTTTAGGCTCTGCTAATAAGGGTTTGTTTAGATTTTTTACCCTGGAGATCTACAAAAATTAAATATCGTGATAACACGAAATACAATAAAATACATTGGAAATTACCTTTGTTTTTAAAATTTATAAACTGTTTATTATTTTAAGTTCTAGAATAAAAAAAATATATTATACCACTAACATATAATTCACAATTTCACACATTAAATTTGACTGTTGAACTATTTATTAGCTAGAAGAGCTAATGGCAATGACCCTCTCCGAAAATTCGGCCTGGCCCTTGTACAAATAAAGCTCCAAAAGTTTTATTTGTCTTTAATTATTTTTCATATATCTTATAATAAGCGATATAATTGAGTTCCTCTCACTAATTGGGCCTTGATCTATCTAATAATCTATTTTGTAGATAGCTACCTACTTCTTTACTAAAAAACACGAATACTTTAATGAGTGTCATAAGAAATGAAAGATAAATTATAAGAAAACATTTCTCGGAAAATGTCGATGCAGTTAATTGGAAAACAATTAATTTTTCTCCTTTAAAAAAATAATTTTATTATTGTAGCTGCTCGATTTGTACCTTCTTTTCTTTGTTGAAATGTCTCCGTACTTGTCCTTCCCTCTTAATTTTGTACCATGGATCAGTGTTCGAATGCGCTCTTTCAAAATTTTAATAATAGTATGCTTTTGTATACTTTTGCTTAAAGCAGATCAAATATTAATTTAAATGTCATTATAATTCGTTTCTATATTGGACATGACAAAGCTCTATATTGGTTTATATCTACATTGTTTTCTCTTGTAGGCCGATTCTC